GGAGCATCAGTGTCAGCGCGAACTATCCGTCGACATTTAAATGAAATGAAACGCTATGGCAGGAGACCCAGGAGGACCCCACTGCTGACACAGAGACATAAAAAAGCAAGACTACAGTTTGCCAAAATGTACTTGAGTAAGCCAAAAGCCTTCTGGGAAAACGTCTTGTGGACAGATGAGACCAAGATAGAGCTTTTCGGTAAAGCACATCATTCTACTGTTTACCGAAAACGGAATGAGGCCTACAAAGAACAAAAACACAGTACCTACGGTAAAATATGGTGGAGGTTCAATGATGTTTTGGGGTTGTTTTGCTGCCTCTGGCACTGGGTGCCTTGACTGTGTGCAAGGCATCATGAAATCTGAGGATTACCAAAGGATTTTGGGTCGCACTGTAGGGCCCAGTGTCAGAAAGCTGGGTTTGCGTCCAAGATCCTGGGTCTTCCAGCAGGACAATGACCCCAAACATACGTCAAAAAGCACTCAGAAATGGATGGCAAAGAAGCGCTGGAGAGTTCTGAAGTGGCCAGCAATGAGCCCAGATCTAAATCCCATTGAACACCTGTGGAGAGATCTTAAAATTGCTGTTGGGAAAAGGTGTCCTTCCAATAAGAGAGACCTGGAGCTGTTTGCAAAGGAAGAGTGGTCCAAAATTCCGGGTGAGAGGTGTCAGAAGCTTATTGATGGTTATAGGAAGCGACTGATTTCAGTTATGTTTTCCAAAGGGTGTGCAACCAAATATTAAGTTAAGGGTGCCAATACTTTTGTCCAGCCCATTTTTGGGGTTTTTGTTGTAGGTGTCAATCACTGAGTCCTGGCCAGCGATTCATGGCCGGTACTCGGTGATTGGCAGAGCAGCTGACAGGAGAGAGATCTGTGAGTGAACACAACACAGATCTGTCTTCTGTCAATGGGGACATGCTGACACAACACAAAACTCAGTTAAATCACAAGATAGTACACAGTTAACCCTTTGATCTCCCCAGATGTTAAACCCTTCCTGCCCAGTGTCATTAATACAGTAGTGTCAGTTATTTGTATTAGCACTGATCATGGTATTAGTGCCACTGGAGATGTCAATGTAGTTAGTTCCCACCCAGTGTCAGTTAGTGTCAGAATGCCTAGCATACTATCGCAGTCCTGCTATAAGTCGCTGATCACCGCCATTACTAGTAGTAAAAATAAATAAATAAATAAACAAACCAGCATATATGTCGCCATTTGTAGATGCTATAACTTTCACGCAAACCAATTAGTATTCACTTATTGGGTTTTTTTTTTTTACCAAAGACATGTAGCAAAATACATTTTGGCCTAAATTTATGAAGATTTTTATTTATTTTTTATTGGATACGTTTTATAGAAAAAAGTCAAAAAAAAAAAAAAATAATTTTTTTTTTTCATTTATAGCGCAAAAAATACAAAACTCAATTAAATCACAAGATAGTACACAGTTAACCCTTTGATCTCCCAGATGTTAAACCCTTCCTGCCCAGTGTCATTAATACAGTATTGTCAGTTATTTGTATTAGCACTGATCATGGTATTAGTGCCACTGGAGATGTCAATGTAGTTAGTTCCCACCAGTGTCAGTTAGTGTCAGAAAGCCTAGCATACTATCGCAGTCCTGCTATAAGTTTCTGATCACCGCCATTACTAGTAGTATAAATAAAAATAAATAAACATACCAGCATATATGTTGCCATTTGTAAATGCTATAACTTTCTCGCAAACCAATAAGTATACACTTATTGGGATTTTTTTTTACCAAAGACATGTAGCAAAATACATTTTGGCCTAAATTTATGAAGATTTTTATTTATTTTTTATTGGATAAGTTTTATAGAAAAAAAGTCAAAATAAAAAAATAAATAATTTGTTTTTTTTTTGCATTTGTAGCACAAAAAATACAAAACTCAGTTAAATCACAAGATAGTACTGTCAAGGTCCTACCTTTTCCCTGAGGTTATGTTACTGCATGTGCTGGCGTCCATCTTGGATTCTTCTGTGCATGGTGGGAATCCTTTTATGCCTTCAGGTCTCTGAGGTCCACCCCCCAGAGGGGTGTGGCTGATGACATATAAGCCTGTGGCCCTGCACATGCTCTTTGCACTTGTGTCTTGTGTCTTTGTGTTGCTATTACTCTGTTCTGACTCTCGTGACTCTCCTGGTATCTGATTCGGCTTGTGACTTGACTATTCTTTGTATTCTCCTTTGATCTGACCCTCTGTTGCTGAACCCTGGGCTCGTGACCTGTGATTCTTGTCTGCTGTCCTGTACTGTTTTGTCCTGTTGTTGTTGACCCCGGCCTGTCTGACTACTCTTTTGTCTCTTCCACCAGCTACACGCCATTGGCGGCGGCCATTACCGCAGCTGAGGTGTCTCGGGGGCCGCGACCTGGTTCCTGGCTGCGTCAAGTCCATCCCCACCATCAGGGGCCCTGGTGAAGGGCAGCCTGGGACTTAGACTCCGTGCCCTGAGGGACTTCGGTCTGTGGGTGGTGGTTGTCGTCAGCCAGTGCGTTACATTGTTAGGCCTGCCTGTCCGTTCCTCGGCTCCTGCCCTGACAAGTACACAGTTAACCCTTTGATCTTCCCAGATGTTAAACCCTTCCTGATGATCAAATACCACCAAAAGGAAGCTCTATTTGAAAAAATTATATACATTTAATTTGTGTACAATGTTGTATGATTGCACAATTGTCAGTTAAAGTAGTACAGTGCCGTAGAGCAAAAAAAAAATGGCCTGGTCATGACGGGGGGTAAATCTTCCAGAGGGCAGGTGTTTAAAGGAATAATTTCAGGGTCAACATTTTACTATAATTCTAAATAAATATAGTTGTAAGAGTTTGTATGGAAAGCTTGGTACACACTGGCCGAAAATCATCCAGTTCAGCAGGTACCGGCTGACTTCCGGTCAGTGTGTAGAGCTGTCTGTCCAACAGAATCTGGTCTAACAATCAGCTTTATCGGGGGGATATGCTGGAGAACCATCATCCAGTCAGTGCTTGCAGCTAATGGCTGTGAGCGGTGATTAGTGTATTCTGGCAGGAGGGGATTCCCCAGTTACACTACAATAGCACATCAGGGCAGATCGCCACACCAACATCATTTTTGTTGGTGTGGCAATTTGTCAGGTTTTTCTTTTTTTTCGTTCAACCCGCTGGTTGAACAAAAAAAAAACATGCAATGTGTACCAGGCTTTAGTTGCCTATTTTTAGTTTTGTGTACCTACGATTTTCACTGTTTCACAAAAAGCACATTAAATTTATTCACATTTGTTTTATATTAATGCAAGTGCAGTTTTATCGTTAACATTCACTTAGATTTTTTTTAATTATGCTGTATTGGTGTGCACCAATAATAATTTTAGGGGTTTTGTTAAAAAAGACATTTTGATGAAGATTTGCGCAGCTATAATGGGAGCTCAAAAATAGACAGTGCTGTCTTTTAATTCTGTCCTGTACTTTCAGAAAATGTATGGTTTCCCAACTTGGCGACCGCCTCCCCTCAATGTCAAGCATGCGGGCAAGCGGCCGCTGTAGGCAAAGCGATCTACCCATACCCAGAGCGAAAGGGAACCTCCTGGTATAAGGTATATTGCGTTTAGCGAGAGCCGATGTAATAGGCCTTAGTGCTCCGTGATTTTGAAGTGTGAGTGGGGACAAATCCTGGAACAAATCTGCGCCATTGAGGGTGAATTCTCCTGTTCCTGGGCTCGCTCCTCCTTTAGTTTGAAACTAGTAAGACAACATATCAAATCCTTGGGTGGGTCCCCATCCCGGCCAAGTGGCTGGAGGGCCCTATGTGCCCTCTCGAATTCCACTGGGGTGTCTCCCGCGCAGTCCAGCAGCTCATTAAACAGTGTCTGTAAAGCCGATGGCAATTGACCACGATCCACCGATTCGTAAATTATTTTGGCGCCCTCGATTATCTATGTCCTCCAATATATGTTGCATATCCAGCAGGTATCTAGAACTTCTTGTGGAATCCTCTTTGATCTCCATCATATCTGCGTCATGACGGGCTACCATTTCTTCCACTGCCTCCAAGTGGTCCGAGACACTCCGGAGTTCCTCCTTCAGGCCCGAGACAGGATTCGATAACACGGTCTTGATGCCTGCAGCAATTGATTGTAGATCCATCATCTTAGGCATCTGTTGAATCAAGGTAAGTACAGTGTCGGAGTTAGGCCTGCTTTTAGCTGCCGGGGATTGCTCCAGTGCCGTATGCGAGGCCATGTCAGAGGAGAGGCTAGGCCTCAATTCCTCCGGCTGCTTGGGCAGCTGTGTCCTGAAAATTTCAGGTATATTCCGACCCAATTGTGAATGTGGAGGCTTCGAGGAGTATACTTGCCCAATTTTGCCCATGGTCGCCTGCGAAGGGGAGGAAAGCCGGCAGTATTCCCTCGTAGCCACAGAGCTCAGGATTCAAGCTGCCATCTCCGTTCAATGCCAAGCCACGCCCCTTGTATGATAATATTTTATATGTAACATGTAGCACAATACATTTATGAAGAAATTTTATTTTTTTTATTGGATATGTATTATAGCAGAAAGTAAAAATAAAAATATAATTTTTTTTTAATCTTTCATTCTTTTTATGTTCTGTTATTTTGCATAAATATTGTTGGGGTGCAAGGTTGAATGACCGTGTAATTACCATTTAAAGTAGCACAGTGCCAAATAGCAAAAAATGGCCTGGTCATGAAGAGGGTAAAACCTTACAGATCTGAAGTGGTTAAGGGACTTTCATAAATGGTAAATCAGTATTGTGAAAAATACTTAGAATGGTTCAGCCACTGGAGCTGCAAACTGAGTCAAGCTATAGCATCAGGGGGAAAATTCTCTAGGGCAGGGGTTTCAAACTACGGCCCTCCAGCTGTTGCGGAACTACAAGTCCCATGAGCAGGGGCGGACTGACAACTCATGGGGCCCCCGGGCAATAGGTGATAATGGGGCCCCTGTGTCCTTCCCAAACTCAAAAAAGCCTATGAAAAAGGTACCAGGGGCATCTCATGGGGCCCCCTACTGACCCCGGGCCCTCGGGCAGTGCCCGAGTTTCCAAATGGTCAGTCCGCCCCTGCCCATGAGGCATTGCAAGGCTGACAGTTACAAGCATGACTCCCAAAAGCAGAGGCATGATGGGACTTGTGGTTTCTCAACAGCTGGAGGGCCGCAGTTTGACACGTGCTCTAGAGTATCATCTTTCAGAAAATATAATATTTATAATGTGTGTGTAATCTTCAGGCCTAAAATGATTTTTTAAACATGTTTGTAAAAAATGCAAAACAAACAGCTCTGGCAGCGAAAGGGTTGAAGACAATTTAAACGTTTTAGAATATTGCAGTGCTTTATTGAGGGAGCCGCATTAATGGTTTGTAGTAATTATCTTCAATTACATATACACTTATAAAGTAATCATTGTTCCTAGTGCATGTATTTATAAATGCAAATGTGAACCTATAAGAAAGGTTCAGTGAAGCAAATTTACTATGATTATATTTTCCCTACACAGACCAATGTAAAGAAGATTATTTTGTTTAATTTGTTTGGATGTTCCCAAAGTGCTGTATCAAAGCACATTAATAGAAAGTTATGTGGAAGGGAAAAGTGTGGAAGAAAAAGGTGCACACGCAGCAGGGATGACCGCAGCCTGGAGAGGATTGTCAGGAAAAGGCCATTCAAAAGTGTTGGGGACCTTCACAAGGAGTGGACTGAGGCTGGAGTCAGTGCATCAAGAGCCACCACACACAGATGGATTAAGGACATGGGCTTCAAATGTCATATTCCTCTTGTCAAGCCGCTCCTGAACAACAAACAACATCAGAAGCGTCTTACCTGGGCTAAAGAAAAACAGACCTGGTCTGTTGCTCAGTGGTCCAAAGTCCTCTTTCCTGATGAGAGCAACTTTTGCATCTTATTTGGAAACCAAAGACCCCGAGTATGGAGGAAGAATGGAGAGGCACAAGGACCCAGAGTATGGAGGAAGAATGGAGAGGCACACACTACAAGATGCTTGAAGTCCAGTGTGAAGTTTCCACAGTCTGTGTTGATTTGGGGAGCCATGTCATCTGCTGGTGTTGGTCCACTGTGCTTCATTAAGTCCAGGGTCAACGCAGCCGTCTACCAGGAGATTTTGGAGCACTTCATGCTTCCTTCCGCAGACAAGCTTTATGGGGATGCGGACTTCATTTTCCAGCAGGACTTGGCACTTTCCCACACTGCCAAAAGCACCAAAACCTGGTTCAATGACTGTGGGATTACTGTGCTTGATTGGCCAGCAAACTCGCCTGACCTGACATTGCCAAGAGAAAGATGAGAGACATGAGACCGAACAATGCAGAAGAGCTGAAGGCCGATATTGAAGCATCCTGGTCTTCCATAACACCTCAGCAGTGCCACAGGCTGATAGCTTCCATGCCACGCCGCATTGAGGCACTAATTGCTGCAAAAGGGGCCCAAACCAAGTACTGAGTACATATGCATGCTTCTACTTTTCAGAGGTCCGATATTGTTCTATGTACAATCCTTGTTTTATTGATTGCATGTAATATTCAAATTTTCTGAGATTGTGGATTTGGGGTTTTCATGAGCTGTAAGCCATAATCATCACAATGATGACAAATCACGGCTTGAACTATCTTGCTTTGCATGTAATGAGTCTATCTCATATATTAGTTTCACCTTTTAAGTTGCATTACTGAAATAACCGAACTTTTGCACGATATTCTAATTTTTCAAGTTTCACCTGTAGATTACTTATTTGTGGACAAAATGCAAGAAAATGAGGAATTGGAGGTGCAAGCTGTTTCTCATAAGACCCTTATTCTGGCCAAGGCAACTAGTTTTATTCAGATCTAAAAGATACCTACACAGATCAGTTCAACCTACCATCAACAGTTTGTATGTTGATATATTCATGTCCAAATGGCAGGGATGGTGGTAGGTTGTGTTGATGTGTTTGAATACATGACTGAAAGCTGTTTGAAAGTGATGGAATTGCCAAGGAAATTGCCATGTTGTTGGTTATCATGAATCTTGGATTGATACAGAACTGTTGCCTTGTGCCATTAGTGAGAAGGTACTTAGGCCTGTGTGGCAACAAGAACTGTCCTGCTGGGCTAGTATTATTCTCTGGACTGTAGGCTATTAATCTGTTGCACGTTTGCCACTGCTTTCCATTATGAGAGGATAATACATTTCATAAAAGTTTCAAGGGTTGTTAGAAAACCCACAGATGCTTTTAGATTAATACCTGTGGTAGGAAATTGCATAAATACCTTGGAAAAAAAAACACTCAAAGGTTAGAAGCCAAAGAGAAATTTCATGAAAACATGTGTAGAATAATTCAAGTTTCTTAGCAGGAAATGTGACTCTAATATTACACTGTGGGGACTGTGGGGAACTCATGTCTTATAGTATCCGCATTTTGAAAATTTACTATTACATTTTAATTTTTCATTAACCACTTGCCCTCCAGAGCATTTACCCCCCTTACTGACCAGGCTTTTTTTGCTGTTCAGCACTGCGCTATTTCAACTGGTAATTGCACAGTCATCCAATGCTGTACCCAAACAAAATGTATGTCCTTTTTTCACACAATAGAGCTTTCTTTTGGTGGTATTTGATGACCTGTGCGCTTTTTATTTTTTGCGCTATAAACAAAAAAAGACTGAAAATTTTGAAAAAAAGAGATATTTTCTTATTTCTGTTATAAAAAAATATCCTATCAACTCAAATTTCGCCATAAATTTAGGCCAAAATGTATTTTGTTACGTCTTTGGTAAAAAAAAATCCCAATAACTGCATATTAATTGGTTTGTGTGAAAGTTATAGCGGCTACAAATGGCTGTATAGATATTGGAATTTACGCCATGTTTTGCTATATGGCACTGCACTAGTTTAACTGACAATTGTGCAGTCATGCAATACTGTACATAAATTAAATTTATGTCCTTTTTTTCACACAAATAGAGTTTCTTTTGGTGGTATTTGATCATCTCTTTGTTTTTTTTTTTTTTGTACTATAAACAAAAAAACTGAAAATTTTGAAAACAAAACAGGTTTTTTCTAATTTCTGTCATAAAAAATATCCAGAAAAATTCTAATTTGATCATAAATTTAGGCCAAAATTTATTTTGCTATATTTCTTTGGTCTAGAAATGGTGGTATAGGTATTGGAATTTACACCATTTTTTGCTACATGGCGCTGCACGAGTTTAACTGACAACTGGGCGGTCATGCAATACTGTACATAAATGAAATTTATGCCACTTTTTTCACAGAAATTGAGCTTTCTTTTTGTGGTATTTGATCATCTCTTGGTTTTTTTCTTTTTTTGCGCTATAAACAGAAAATTTTGAAACAATATTTTCTCATTTCTGTCATAAAGAATATCCAAAAAACTAAAATTTTATCATACATTTAGGCAAAAATGTATTTTGCTACATGTCTTTGTTAAAAAAAAATCCCCAAAACTGCATAGTAATTGGTTTGTGTGAAAGTTATAGCATCTACAAACTATGGTATAGATACTGTAATTTACACAGCTTTTACTTTCTGACTGCCAATCACATTTATTAAGGTGCTAAAATACCAGGACAGTGCAAACACCCCCAAATTACCCCTTTTCGCAAAGTTGACATCCTAAGCTATTTGCTGAGAGGCATATTGAGTCCATGGAAGATTTATTTTTTCCCACACGTTTTTGGAAAATGCCAACACTTTTTTTACACAAAGTTGTAACTTAAATTATATATTGCTCACACATGTCATGGGTATATGTGGAATTACACCCCAAAATACATTCTGCTACTTCTGAGTATGGAAATACCACTTGTGTGATACTTTTTGGGAGCCTAGCTACATACAGGAGCCCAAAATCTAATGACCACTTTGAAAGCCTGACAGTGTGTAACTTCCTCATTTCACTTCCTCACTACCTATCACAGTTTCAGAGGCCCTGAAGTGCCAGGATAGCACCCCCCCCCCCCCCCCCAAATTACCCCTTTTTTTTGGAAAGTAAACACCCCAAGGAATTTATTAAGAGGCATGGTGATCGTTTTGCATATCTAATTTTTTCTCACAAGGTTTTGAAAAATAAAGAAAGAAAAGAAAATATGTTTTTGTTTTCTTTCATTTTCCAAAAACTTGTGGCAACAAAGGAGATCTTCATATCAAATTCCTTGGGGTGTCTACTTTCCAAAAAGGGGTCATTTGGGGGGGGGGGGGGGTTGGTGCTATCCTGCCATTTTAGGGCCTCTGAAACTGTGATAGGTAGTCAGGAAGTGTAATGAGGAAATAAAGCCCTTTAAAATTCTGAAGGTGCTTATTGCATTTTGGGGTCCTGTACTTTGCTAGAGTGCCAAAAATTCTCTCACATCCCCATACTCGAGAGAAGTAGCAAAATGTATTTTGGGGAGTAATTCCACATATACCCATGGCATGTGTAAGCAATAAAGTTACAATTTTGTATAAAAAAAAAATTTTGTTGTCATTTTCCAAAAACTTGTGGTAAAAATAAATTCTTCTATTGACTTAACATGCCTCTCCACAAATAGTTTGGGGTGTCTACTTTCCAAAATGGGGTCATTTGGGGGGGGGGATGCATCCACCCACTGGCTACCCCGGGCTCCCATGCTTGGGCATATATGCTCTTTTTTAACTGCAGATGAAAAATCTCATCCAACAGCGCTGCACACACTTATATTCTGTATATTCTGAGAGCAAGACCCTGTTGTCCGATTAAACAGATCGGCGCTGCAGCTGAATGGTATTCCTGCAAAGAACCAGCAATGGTTAACAATAAAACCGTAAAAATAAAACTGTAACAAAACTGTAACAGTAAAACCGTAACAGTATAACAGTAACTTGACAACCAAAAAAATAAAAATTTTTGGTTTTTAAAATGTTTTAATTTTGTTTTACTTTTAATTTTTATTTTTTTGTTTTTGTTTTACTTTTTTTTAAAAATTTAACTTAACCAGATTGTAGGGTCCCTCAAAATGCGATAGCCAGTTTCCTGACTACCTAACATCTTTCAAGACCCTGTGCAAATATGTGCCCTGAACTGTGCAGTGCTGTACCCTATACTTCTACTCCACTAGTGTGTGGTAGCAATGTAAGCAGTCCTTGAGGTAGAGACTAGGTTGGTCAGGACAGGAGCGAAAAAAAATGGGTGTAACGCCTAATTCTGTGTCTGCTACAGATGCGGCATCTTTTTTGGGGTGTCCTTTGAATTGGGGTACCAGGAATGGCATCGGGAAAATGCCTCTCATGCAGCTGGCTAACTGCATCTGGGTTGGGGGCTTGGCCATAGCACCTTTTGGATAGAAAAAGGGCTGTGATGATCTCTTCCTGGAATTTTAGGAAGGATCCACTTCGTCCAGTTGCTTTGTAAAGCACAAAAGCATTATATAGAGCCAACTGAAATAAATAAACAGACACTTTTTTGTACCAGCGTCTGGCTTTTCAGGAAACTAAGTACGGCTTCATCATCTGGTCGTTGACGTCCACCCCTCCCATGTCACGGTTATAGTTGTGGAAACAGATGGCTTCTCAACAACAACTGCTGTTTTGGCAATTTGGATTCGTGTCTGCGTGAATGGAAGACAGGACGAGAACATCCAGTTTGTCCTTCCACTTCAATGTGAGCAATTCATCATTTCTCAAACAGGATTTTTCCCCCTTTCTAAGACGGGTATTTACAAGCCGTTGGGGGAAGCCCTGGCGATTAGGTCGCACGGTGCCACATGTGCCAATTCCAGGATTGTACAAATGTCTAAATAGTGGCACGCTTGAATAAAAATTATCCATGTATAAGTGGTACCCCATATGGAAAAAGGATGACACCAAGTCCCCAACTATCTTGCCACTGCTCCCCATGTAGTTTGGGCATCCGGGGGGGCTCCATGTGACTGTCTTTTCCCTCATAAATCCAAAACTTATATGTATAGCCTGTTGCCCTCTCACAGGTCTTACACATCTTGACCCCAAATCTGGCACGCTTGCTGAGGAGAGATTGTTTAAATGCAAGGCAGCCAGAAAGATTTATGAGGGAATCATCAACACAGATGTTTTGCTGGGGAGTATAGACATCTGCAAATTTTTGGTTAGGGTGATTTACGAGGGGCCGAATTTTGTGGAGCCAGTCAAATTCAGGGTCACTCCAAGGACGACCGAGTGTATTGTCATTGAAATGCATGAAGAGCATTATATTCTCATATCTATGCCTGGCCATGGCAGCATAGAACATAGGCATATGATGAATCGGGTCTGTTGACCAATACAACCACAATTTTAGTAATGTCCATGTTGAGGGTTAGGCCCCAAAAAAACTTTAAATTTGGAAACCATAATAGGTTTCCATGCAAATGGTCTGGCAAGGTTTGAATTTGGGTTGGCGGCGATAAACTGTTGTGCAGATAAATTTCTTTGTCCACAATCAATGCATACAGATCTTTTGTAAAAAAACAGCTCCAAAAAAATCAAGGGGAGTAGTTAAATTTGCTGTTTCCACCTGAATTCCGGGTTGGGCAGTGAATGGGGGAAGTACAGGTGCTGTAGAATTTGTGGGCTGGCAATCAGAATTTGCAAGCACATCCGGAAGAACACTAGGGGCTCTATGGGCCTGTGTGTGAATTCTTGGTAGCTGCAGGACACTACTTGTGCTAGCCAGCGCACCAGCTTGCACTGCACTTATGGGACTTTCTACGTCACCAAGTGATACTGCAGTGCTGGTATTTGAAAGACCAGGATGTACTAGGCCGTTGGTGTTCGCCAGTTCACCAAAAGGTTGAGCGGCACTAGTACTGGCACTCTGCTGCACATGAGAATCATCATGCAATTGTAACACCTCAGCAATCTGGGAATGTGTCAGGAAAGGGCTCACCGCTGGTGGTGCTGTGGCTCACCTGCTCTGTGGGCTGCAGTACCAGTCACTACCAGAGAGTGCCGTTCAGCGGCCAGGATCTCACCTCCTGCAATCAAGCTATCACCTGAGGCTGATTGCAGGAGGTGTATTTAAACAGTAACCAGGCCTGCGATCAGTGCCTTGGTGTTTTCCTTGAGCCTCTGTTACCTGCTAACCTGTTACCTGCTACCTGCTCTGTCTCCCGTGTATGACCCCGGCTGGCCTGACTATTGTTGCTGTTTGTATTAAGTGTAGGGTTTGTTATTGAGTTGTTGTTGTACTGTGCATTGTTACTGTGTCTCACAAATAAATGGTATTATTTTCATTACTCCTGAAGCCTGCTGTTCCCTATGTCAGTCCACACGTCTCTGGTCATAGCCAGGTTACTGACAGAATGGGGTCGGGTACGCCTGCCCTTAGCAGAGACCTCTTCTCCATCATCTGAGATATCTGTCAGGGTTTCGCTGCTGTCTACAGGTTTGTATTCTGAGGCAGATTTTGTCAGTAAGGTTTCCCCTTCAGTCTCATCTGACATGCCTAGAATCCTGTAGGCCTTTTCAATAGAGTACCTTTCGTTGGACATTTTGGCCACTAAATTTATAGGTACCTAGTGTGACTCACGGGAAAAAGACCACCTGGCTGTCAGGGATTGCTTGAACCGCTACAAAAAAAATTTACCTGCGAGTGCTAACGGAGATCAGGCCTGATTCTGTGAACACTGCTGTTTTGTGTACAATGTATCAAGTGACAGTGACCTACTGACACTGCACTTGCTGGGGGAGAAGGGTGGTTAAGCGTAAGGACTAAACGCAGGTGCTGGCAGGTGCTGAGCTGATCCCTCTAATGCTGCGTTTTTGGGGACACTATACTAATGTGAATGCTGGTATAGTGCTGATCTGATCAAATATATTGATCCATTCAGACACTATACTAGCAATGGAGGTTTATTGTGTAAGTGACCGTGTTTCTGATAATCAAGGGGTTAAATGTGATGACTGATGTAGTGATGGGCAATCTGCCACTATCTGGGAAAGATGCTAACTGATGCTAACACTATCTGAAGTCGCTAGTGACACTAATACAGTGATCAGTAAAAAAATCTGTAAACTGCACTAATGACACTGGTGACAGGGCAGTGAAGGGGTTAACTGGGGGGCGATCAGGGGGTTAAATGTGACCTAAATGTGTTTTGACTGTAAATGTGTGCTGTTTTACTCTTCTCTCTCTGGGACAGGTACAGGAAGATCTGTGATAGGGAAGGGATCAATCATCAGATCCAGGCCGAAGATCACTGGCCTGAATCTGATGACTGATCTCTCTGGCATCGAATCACGGCACTGCCAGGTTGGCGGTCATTGCGGGAGTGCAAATCGTGTATATATATGTAAGGGTGTGACTCATGGATAAATACTGATGTCCAATGTTAAACTATAATGTGCCTGCAATATGCTCTTTGGTCAGTAGATGGCAGCAAAGTACAAGAATCAATTTTGCAGTGACCTTTGCTAAGACAAAACAAATCCTTATTTACCCTATAAAGTTTTAATGAATGCTAATTTAGGGGTTGCGTAGGACCCTCAGAAGGGTCATAGTGAACTGTAAACACAGGTTTGAGGCTGCAATTAGGAAATTACTTACTGCATCACAAACTCTCTGGGAAGGGGAGGAGTTCCTGTGCAGAGGAGGAAGTGGGAGTCGGTGTCTGGCTGGTGTATGCTGAGGTCGTCTGGAGAATCTGTGTGGGGCCTGGAAGAGGATTTACGGCTCACAGTGGAGTCTGGCGACGGCACCTAGGGAAGATTCACCGCGACGAGACCAGGAAACAGTGACTGTATGGTCTGGTTCTGGAGTGGACCAGTGGATCAGGAAAAAGCAACAAGAGCCTGAAAAGGAACTGTAAGTGCGGCTTTGCTGCAGCACATCGCACCACACGTGTTCAGTGACATTTTGGATATACCAGAAAGTTACAAGAGACACACTCCACTTTCCTTTGGATTACAAATAGTATTGCGCAATACTTAGGGTGCACCCCAACGTCATATCGTGCTCAGGAACATTCAGGCGCAGCCAGGCTGCTTTCTGGACACTGGGGAAAAGTCTGCAAGTACGGGGTTAGTGTTAGACAGTATTTATTCTTACTGTATGGTGATGCGCTGTTATCATTCTGTTTACGTATGCTCAACTACATGTTCACTATAACTGTTCAGTAAACGTAATTGTAAAAGAACCGCTGTCTGTGTGGCATCGTGTACCCTCTGAATCTGTGGGCCCAGCCTTCGGCTCTCTTTCATATACGTGATTTTGCACATCTGTGCCACCCTGTAGCAGTATTTCTGCTATAGGGCGATGCGGAAGCGGTTAAGTAAGTTATCCAAGTCGATCTGGAAGCCTAGTAATAGTAAAGTAATTGAATTGCTTCTGCTATTTCTCCTGGCATCCCTCTGAATTCCACTGGCTGATTATTTTGTGTGAAAAGGCATTCCAAGACGGCATTCCTTGATTCAGCTTTTATGGACATCCTCTTGCTCATGTTATTGTGACACTCATTTCCCTGTTTGGTTTCTGGAAGTAATTATGAGCAATAATGAATAACACCCTGGCCACATTGCTTTAATGAGAGAGCCAATTCTTTTTATGTATGCCTTGTATACGCACTTAGGAAAGTAAAACCAAGAGGAAAACTATAATTGGAGTGATAGGGCTTACGGTTTGTTTTGTTATGAAATACTGGATGAACTTTCATTGTTTTAGTTCAACATCTAACAAAGCTTAGCTTTTAAGCTGCTTGACGTTTTGGTAGATCTCTTTCAAACTGGTGTGTATCCTGACCTTTTCTATTTCTCATTTCCTCTTTCTATACTTTAATCTCTTCTTCTCAGGAGCACTGTAGCTGTATATAAATTCTACTCAACAGCAATCCTATAATGTATAGATTTCTAGGTTTTCTATGTTCTACGTTTTCTGCAGGCTTTTGTTTATAGTGATAAATGGCAACTAAAAGAAAAGCCCAGGAGTCTATTTCAGAATTCCTTCTGAATACCGTTGTTGTTTCTACAACCCCTAGCAAAAAGTATGGAATCACCACTCTTGGAAAATGTTCATTCAATTATTTAATTGTGTAGAAAAAAAAAACAATCACAGACATGCCTCAAATTTATTTTCATTTAACATTCCAACTTTCTGGCTTTAACCATTAGCCGCCCGGCCAATGGCCGTTTGGCGGCTTCAAAAGTGCTTCGGCATTCCGGGTGCACGCCATTTGGTGTGCTCCCGCACATGCGCAGTTTGCGCTAGTGCAGAGCCGCGCGGCGGCGTGATCTGTCACTGGCCGTGTACCTCGGACACAGCCGATGACAGATCTGAGTACCGACCCCCGTTGCTGGTACCATGTGACCTGCTGTGACCAATCACAGCAGGTCACATGACAGTTGTATACAATGGATGGCTTCATTCATGCCATCCATTGTATACTAGTGCCTAGCTGTGAATGGTCACAGCTAATCACAAAAAAAAAAAAAAACCTGAATGAATCGATTTCATGCAGGTAAATGCTTGCTTATAGCAAAGTAATTCTTTGCTATAAGCAAATTGTGTAAAAAAAAAAAAAAAAATACTGATCACTTCCCCAAAGTAGTACAATGTTACTATGGTAACATTGTACTACTTTGGTCATAGTAAAATATGAAAAAAAAATCTTAAAAAAAAATAAAAAAAATGTAATAAAAAATTAAAAATAATAAAAAAAAATAAAAATAAAAAAAAAATATATATATATTTTTTTTTCATACTGTCACCAGTCAGTGTCCCTGTTCACCGCCATGCCAGTTATATGATGACGCTGTACTGCACTGGTGACAGTATGTAAAAAAAAAAAATAGTGAAAATAATTTTTTTTTTAATTTTTTAATTTTCCGAAAAATTATGACAAAAAAAATACAACTTCAAAAAACTCGCCATGCCTCTTATGAAGTACGTCAGACTGTCTACTCTGCAAAAAGGGGTCATTTGGGGGATATCTGTACTGTTCTGACATTTGGGGGATATCTGTACTGTCCTGACATTTGGGGGATATCTGTACTATTCTGACATTCTTGGACCTCAAGAAATTAGATTGGCTGTCAGAACTTCAGGATTGATCAATATTCAGATCTATACCATAGTTTGTGAACTCTATAACTTTCCTACAAACTAAATAATACATCCTAATTTGGGTTATTTTCACCAAAGACATGTAGCAGAATACATCTCGGCCTAAATTTATGAAGAACAATTATTTATTTGTAAACGTTTATAACAGAAACAAAGAAAAACATGTTTTTTTTTCAAAATTTTTGGTCTTTTTTTGTTAATTTAGCAAAAAATAAAAACCCCAGCAGTGATTAAATACCACCAAAAGAAAGCTCTAGTTGTGTGAAGAAAATGATAAAATTTTAGTTTGGGTACAATGTTGACCGCGCAATTGTCATTCAAAGTGTGAGAGCGCTGAAACGTGAAAAATGGCCTCGGCAGGAAGGTGTAAAATTGCACGGTATTGAAATGGTGAAGAAACACTTAAAAAAATAAAAAAGAAAGAAAACTGTAGTCAATTGCAACTGCTTTTGCAGAGCAAGCAGAGGAAAAAAAAAATGTGGAATCACTCAATTCTAAGGAAATTATTATGGAATCACCATGTACTTTGCAGTTCTAAAACAAATATCTGCATCAGATTACATCTGCTAATTAGTCTGTAGTTAAAAAAAAGAGTGCTTGTACACCTTGGTGAGCTGCTGCACCAAGCTGATTGAACTGAATCATGGCTCCAACACAAGAGATGTCAGTTGAAACAAAGGAGAAGATTATAAAACGTCTTCAATAAGGTAAATCATTCCAGAATTTTGCAAAAGATGTTGGTTGTTCCCAGTCAGCTGTGTCTAAAATCTGACCGAGAACAAATCAATTGGGAAAGGCTGTAAAAGGGAAGCATGCTGGTAGACCAAGGAAGACATCAAAGCGTCAAGATAGAAAACATAAAGCAATATGCCTTGAAAACAGAAAATGCACAACAAAACATATGAACAAATGGGCAGAAACTGGAGTCAATGTCTCTGACCGAACTGTAAGACATCGCCTAAAGGAAATGGGATTTACATACAGAAAAGCCAAATGAAAACCATCATTATCACCTAAAGAGAAAAAAACAAGGTTACAGCGGGCTAAAGAAAAGCAATCAAGGACTGTGGATGATGGGATGAAAGTGATATTCAGTGATAAATCACGAATCTGCATTGGGCAGGATGATGATGCTGGAACTTTTGTTTGGTGCTGTTCCAATGAAATGTATAAAGACTGCCCCCAGCCCGCGCCCCCCCCCCCCCCCATCCTTTCCATCACTACCAACAACACCACCATCAATCCCGCCCAGTAAGCCAAGGTCCTTGGCGTCATTCTGGACTCAAACCTTTCCTTTCAACCTCATATCAAATCACTTACAAACACATGCAGGCTCCACCTCCGGAACATCGCCAAGATAAGCTCCTTCCTTACCCCAGACACCACTAAACTACTAGTACACTCCCTGATTATCTCACGCCTTGACTACTGCAA